GTGGTAAATCCTCTCACCCCCTGCACCTCTGACCTGCTCTCCAGCTCTTGTATACATACATAAATAAACCTTTAAATAAAATACAGTTATATTAACTGTAAAACAGTTCAACAAAGTGTATGGTTCTATCTCCCTTGTAGTCATCTTCATTTTATCGATGGGGAAACTGAAGCACAAAGCAGGGAAGCAACTTGCCCAACTCCCCACACACACTTGGAAATGAGCTGGCATCTGAGCCCGGGTCCGTCTGTCCAGCTACAGTTTGTGCTTGTGGCTAGTGGGTGCTGGGCTGCCTGATTGCCGTGTGGGAACGCAGGCAGCGGACGGGCACACCCCTACCTGCCCGTGCACACACGCAAGCAGTCAGGCTGCCTGGAGCAGAACAGCTGCAGCCCCTCAGATTAAATCAGCCTTCAGAGTTGAACGTGGGGAAGAGCCTTGGAGAAAATAGAAGGAAGTTCCCAGTTTAGTGCCTTGGGCTGGGGGTCTGGACAAGGGTTCAGGTTGCCTGAACTGGCCCCTCCTGTTTGCCTGCCAGTCCCTTCCCTAAAGTTCTAAGCTCTTCCTTTTCCTCCCAACCTTCTTGTCGCTCCTGCCCCTCAGCCCACACACCTAGCAAGGAGGGCTATCTGGCCATGGCCTTGTTATGAACAGTGACCAGCGTCTTAGCGGAAAGAAGGTGGGCCTGGAGAGCCCTGCTCAAAAGGCAGAACTGAAAGAGGCTTCTGGAAGAGCTGGAGGAAGAGAGGAGACACAGACAGTCATGAAGGGCTGAGTGATAAGTAGAGGGTGTGCTGGCCCAGCACCAGTGGCACCACACTGCAGGAGCCGATGTGGGGGCGGGGTGGGGAGGAGGCCTCTTCAGCTCAGAGGGGCCTGGGGAGCGCTGTCCCATGCCACTCTGAGAAGGCCAAGCCTGAAGGTGCAGCCTCAGAGCAGGGGTGAGTGTCGGAGGAGGCCAGGTGCTCGGGCCTATTCAGTCTGTCAGGGCAAGGGGGGTGGGAAGAAGATACTGACGTCTGAACTCAGAAGTGGTGCGAACCCTCACCAGTCCCTCCCTGCTCAAGAGCCTGTCACAAGGCAACTGCGGCTCACACCTGCTTATCAGGGCTGGGGTGTGGAGAGGGTGTCTCGGACAGGAGATAGGGCCGGGACAGGGCTGTCCACACTGGCCTGATCTGCCTCCCTCATTCGCACCTCCTCAGAGGCCCCTCAGCCCACTTATCCCCTGCGGCCTCCAGCCTGCCCCTGCCTGCCTCCTCAGCAAGCCCCCTGCAGGCTGTCCTTCTTTGAAGGAGTGCTCTGCCCTGGACAAACACCACTCAGGGAGGACCTAGGAAAGGGTCCAGCCCAACCCTCCAGGAAACGGAACAGAGGTCCCATGGCAAGCATTTGTGGGAGTGGAACTAGGCCACAGACCGCCAAGGGAATGAGCCTCTGCCCATGGGCCACCGAGGACAGGGTCAGGGGCTGGGGCACAGCGATGGCTGAGGAGTGCCCATTTTTTCAAGTTGCAGCCTCCCATAGAGGGCACAAACACATCGCATGGTCCTGGGCTCCACTGACCTTGGATGACAGCCAAGGTCTCTGCCTATGCCTGAGAGCCAGGGGCAAAGGCTCCCTCTGAAGTGGTCAGCAGACAGGAGCGGAGAGGTGAGAGGGGCCACGGAGCACAAGGGGAGAGGTCAGGAGCCCACTGTGGGTCCTGCATGCGGCCTGGCAAAGAGTCAGTTGAGTCAGCTCTGTGAGGCCTGGGAGGCACCAGGAGACCCCACGCCCACAGTGCTGGAGGCGCAGAAGAGGAAGGGCCCTGGCTTCACCAGAGGCAGGACAGTTCTTCGGTGCCTGCAGAGGAACTGGGTCTGAGGGCGGGAAAGAACAAAAATAATCCCAAGATCCTGGTTGGGGGTAGGCGAGAGGGCGGGGTTCTACACCTGCACACAGCTGGAAGGCCCAATTTTAGCTCCGCTTCCCCCAGGGTTAAACACACCCCTCCCAGCACACCCTGACTGCCTCTTCTCCATCACCTTCCCAAGCGAGCAGGCAGCCTCAGCCTAGAGACCAGGCCCTGTGGAAACTGACAGGAGCCTAGGGACACGTCTGCTGAAAGCAAGGCTCCGCGTCCCAGGTCACGGAGACATGGAGACGCGGACCCTCAGCCCCACTCTACTGGCGCTGGCTGCCCACAAGTCATGGCACCGGTAGAGACTTCTCTAGCGGGGCATGTGCCTTCCTGCCTCCTCGGAGAAGCCTTCCCCAAAGTCATGCTCACCCAGGCTCAGCTGACATAACTGGTTCAGCACAGAGGCTGACCCAGCAGCCAGTCCCCACCCTCCCTGGGTCCCTCACATAGACAAAGAGCACGTTGGGACTCAAGTAGGGTAAGTGCTCTTCTCTTGGCTAGCCCCAAAACATCTCTAGAGCACCTACTACCACAGAACCCTCTGGAGGCCCCTGAGAGTCAACTCCAATATTTACCTGTCTTCAGGAAGTTAGCAGGGCCTAGTAGGGCTCAGTGAGTATATGCATAAACACCTAACAAGGCAAATTAAAATAACCACAACCACCTTGGGAAGAAAAGGGCAAACATGCGTAGGGAACCTGAAAACTTCCACAAATCACAAATTCCTGTAGGAGTTTGTGAAATGGGGTAAATAGCAGCTATTCGAATGGGAGACAAGATAGGCTCTGATGTGAAAGCACTTTGTAAATGGCAAAGCACTGACCTGGTTGAAGTCGGTTGTTAGCAACACATTGCAGGCACAGGAGTGCGGACAGACAGCCCAGAGCTAGCACCATACTAAGCTCAGCCTCTGCCCCTCAACTTCTCAGGACAGGATGACCTTCCTTAGTCACTGCCAAGGCTGCTGTAACGAAATGCCATAAAATGGGTGGCTTTTAAAGAACTGTGATTTGTTTCTCACAGCTCTGGAGTTCGAGAAGTCCAAGATCAAAGTGCTAGCAGATCTGGGTGTCCTGGTGAGGGCCCATTTTCCCGTTGGCTTTCCAGTGTGCTCACATGATGGAAGGAACAAAGCACTAATCCTATTCGTGAGGGTGGAGCTAATCACCTCCCAAAGGAACTACTTTCTAATACCATCACTTATGATTTATGTTCCAACACAACATACAAATTAGCAAGAGTGGGGAGGTAGGGGGTTAGAGGGGCATATAAATGCGTTTTTTAAATTTGTGTATGCATAGAAAACTCGGGTACAGGAGCAGAGGTGGTGAGAGGAATCACCAGAGACACAGTGGGGAGTAGACAGGCAGACTGACAAAGTACACTGCTCAGGGGGGCAGCAGGTGGGACAGGAGAGGTCTGCTGTGCCGTGTGGGTCACAGCTGGGTCCGGGGATCGAACTTGCACTGAAGCGCTGCAGCCAGCTTGCAGTGCTGAGCTTTAACCCTCTGCACCACAAGGGAGGGCCCCGCATATGTTCTTACTCAATCCTCAGACCACCCAGTAGGTCCGCTTCAACCTGTTCCTGGTTGAGGAACCTGATTCAGAAGGATGGAGTCCCTTACTAAGGCTGCCCAGCTGGGGGGAGGGAAGAGGGGATGGGAGCCAAGAACCTCCCTCTGCGCGTCTGAAGCTTTGGTCTAGCCAAGCCACGTGGATGGGGGTCGGTGGGTACTTTCCCTATCTCAGAGTGTGACTCAAAGACAAGTTGTGATAGAGGCCTATTACTGCATTTGTGCACATAATTTGTCCAAGGTAGGTGTCTCCTTTTTATTTTGTTGTTAAAAGATGTATTTATTTATACAGAACTGGGGTATAGGCCAAAGGTGCAGAGGTGGTGAGAGGCTTCACCAGAGACAGAGTGGGGAGCAGAACAGGTAGATCAATGAAGTACACTGCTGAGGGGAGCAGCAGGCGAGACAGAAGAGGTCTGCTGTGACATGTAGATCACCTCCCTGGCCGGGGATTGAACTAGCGCTAAAGTGGTTGAGGTTTGTGTTGCACCTTAACCCACTGTGCCACCGGGGAGGGCCTGGGTGTTTCTTGTTAAAGTAATAGAAGGGGGTTGAATGTCGAAGATAGCAGAGCACATTGCTACTACATAAAACCTGTTAGGCATGGAAAGCAGGTTGCCATGTAAAATGAATTTTTTTTCACCAAAGCGATCTTTCTTAGTGCAGTCTCATTTGGTGGTTTTAACTCACACTGAAGGCTTGTTTATCCAAGCTGCAATCTCAGAGCTGAGCCAGGGCTCACGTGTCAGAGGGCGAAGTCAGGATTGTCAAGAACATGAACTCACATGAAGATGGGGAGACACTATCGTAACAGTTCGACGTCCACATAAAGCCACATTTGTCTCCCCAAAACTATGGGAACGTGATCGGACTGTAATCATGTGGAAAAAGCACATGGAGTGGTCAGCTGGACATGTTCCACACGAACCAGAGCTAGAGGGAGGAAGAAGTGTCCCCGACAGGGAGCGTCAGGGCCCCGCTGAACGCAGCCGCTGTCACACACAGCCGTTGTGAAGGTGAAGGGTCTGCGTGCCTGGGCGCCCGTCTTGCTGTCTGCAGAGCTTTACCTCGCTGAAGGCTGGCGGGAGAAAGACCTGTGTCGCCTGGAGTGGCCACTAGGGCCCGTCACTGGTGGGCAGCAATGCCAAGGAAGATTTCTGTGAAGGAAGGAAATATGACGCCGGGCCCCAAGGGTGGCAGAAAGTTCTCTCATGATACGAGTGAGCTCAAGGAGCTACTTGCCAGGACTCCGGCCCTGGGAACGTGAGTCGAGGGAGGGTGGACGTGGGGCACGGACTGGTTCCAAATTGTCATTAGATGCAGCAGTTTCTTGGTGAAAGTACTTTTTTGGCATTTACCAGGCAAACTGTTCCAGACTGAGAGACCAGACATACAACAGAGGCACCTTACCTGAAACCTGGAACCCAAAGCAGCAAAAAAAGACATTTTGGGAGCACCTAGGCAAATTTGAATAGTTATTTATTGGATGTTATTGAATTCGTCATAAATTTTTTACACACGATAAAAGCATTTGGGAAACAATGTCTTTATTCTTAGTGTTCAAGTTATTAAAAAGAAAGGGTCACGTCTACAACTTACTTTTTTTAAAAAAACCCACATCTAAATGGTTCAAGAAGAGAAGCAAATAGAAAAGAGAAGGCATTCACTGTACTCTTCTTCCAGCTTTCTGTAGGACTAAAATTTCTCAGAATAAAACTAGAGGGGGCGGAATTCAGCTACTGCGGCTACTGTGATGTGAAACAAGCCTGAGGCCCCGGCAGCGTCCAACCGGCCGGCAGCGGCCAGCAGCATCGTTCCGGTTTAGCGCTGAGGTCGTGACGAGGCGGTGTCGTGGCTGACACGTGGCACTGCCGCGTGACTCTCGGACTCTCAGACTGTGACCTGCAGAGGTCTGTGCACTCAGGGCCACACTGGCGTGCTGTGCAACGTGAGCAGCCCGTCCATAACCAGCACCCCCAAGTCACACAGGAGCCATGTCAAAGAGCAGCTCATCTGGCGTGGCCCTTGCACAGTACTGTGAAGTTCTCAGAGGCCTGAGAACCTGGAATCTCAGAAAAAAGATGTCATAAGGCAGGGGGTGGGGAAGGGGGGGAGGGAAGTAGGAAGAATTAGGGAGTAAGCCCCCCTCAAGCAGATAAGGGCCTCCAGCCAGAAAGCCCGGCCTCTGTTGTGGGTCAAAGGCTCCCAGAGTGCAGGCAGCGCAAGGCAGAGACCAGGGTCAGGCCGAGGACCCGCTGCAGAGCTCACTGTCAGCCGAACGGAACTGCTCAGCCGGTGACCAGGTGCTTCTTGCCGCGACACACCCGATGCTGGGAGAGGCCTGGGGACCTGCTGCATCAGGGCCGCATCGCCAGCCGTCCCAGTGCAGGAGGCTGAAGTGATGTGACCCAGAGGAAAGCTGAATTCTCAAGATTTCCATTTTATGGTCTGTACTGGAGGGACGAATAGCAATGCGAGCCAAATCAAGCACCACCACTGTACAATGCTTTTAGAAAGAAAACCAAGGAGTTTTTTAGGCTGCATGTTTTTTTTTTTAATCACAAGCAGTTATCTTTTTGTTTCAAATGACAAATAGTACTTTTAAGAGGAGCTAAAAACCTAAGACACTTTGGTTTACTGAATTAAAAACTCAAGATTCCCCACCACCCGGAAGGAGGAGGAGGGAAAAGAGCATGAGCAGTCACTGCCCGCCACGGGAACCCCTGGGGAGCAGTGCTGCGCTGTGCGGACGGCACAGGGCCGCCTGGGGGGGCTTCTCCCACTGAGCGCCCCTCCGGCTTCTAGAGAAGCAGCCGGGCCCCAACATCACCTCTCCAACAAGAAGTGAGAGAAACGGATCTTTGGTCACAGTGACATTCTGGCTCTTTCTCCCCAAGAAAAGAAGCTAAAGAGGGCAGCGATGAAGCAGAATGGTATTAATCAGGCTACTGTGCTCTGTCCCCGACTTTTTTCTCTTACCCAGACAGAAGAGTAGACAAGGTCAGTCATCACCAGCTTACCTTTTTTTTGCTAGAGGCAACAGAATACCACCACCAAAACGGCCCTAGTCCGAGTACTTGGGAAGCCAGCGTGCAGGACACATTCTTCCTAGGCCCTACCTTAAGGCACCTTACTGCCTACACCAGGACAGCCCAGGAAAGGGCTTCTTAACCCAGCGTAGGATCTGGCCAGACACACAGCAGCGTTTCCCCAGAGGTAACTGCCTTTGGCTCTCAGGCCCAAAGCACAGCCTGACACTACAAAGGTAGACAAGCAGATCGTGGGCCAGAGGATCTGGGCCCAGGCCCTTCCAGGGGTCCTGAATCTTTGGAACAAAAAGTTCAACTGGAAACAAGAAACACATGAGCTGAGCATCCTCCAGTCACTAAAAGGAGCGTGTCCCGGGGGCCAGCAGGGGCTCTGGTAAACCTCCAGGGACCAGACTCACCGTCCTCCAGAATTCACGTGCCTGGGGCGCTTTCTGCCCACAGAGGAGTGTCTCTGGCTGACAGCAGACAAGAAACCAGACCCTCCCGCCCCGCAGGCCTGAGGACAGATCTACACTCATGCAGGTATGTATTTCTGAGAACACTCTGTGTCCAGGGAGATCTGCATCTACTTCCCGTTGTCTTTCTTCTCTCAGCCCTGGGGCCTCATGATTTGGTGACTTCTTTGGAGGGGGAATCTCAGGCGGAATGCTCACACTGCTGAGCCTCAGCTTCCCAAGGGTGTAAAGAGGGTCTTTGCTATATATATATATATATATATATATATATATATATATATATATATATATATATATAATGGTTTATTTTTACATCATTTTGTGCACGTTTCCATCTCAGTTTTACTCCCCGTGGGCTTCCCATCACCAAATCACCTGTGTGTCATCACCATAGTCCAGTGCATTTCCCTCTCCCCACTGTTTTTGATCCCATTCCCCACTCCACCCCCACAAAATGTCTCTGGTCTATAGCTGTTCATTATTATTATCATTTTCTCACCTGGTCCGTTATACTCCTGCTATGAGTGAAACCATTTGGTATTTTTGCTTTTTGAAAAGACGGTCTTTTTAAGACAATTCATGTACAGCACCGAGTCAGAATACAGAACACACCGAGTGAGCAGCAAACGCAGTGCTGGCCGCTTCCACGCCACAGAAGCAAGGAACAGCGGGTCCACGAGAGAAGGAACAAGACAAATGCAGAATACATGTGGCCAGGACCATGCACACAGGATTTCCACAAGCCAGCTTTAAGATCGACTCAGGTCCCTAGGAAAAATACACAGTTGGGCACCAAAAAGGATGAGCAGTCGTCAGAGACTACCATCTGGAAGCATACAAATAAGACGCCACACACCCCCAGGTGCAGACCGTGCCATCGCATGGACACAGTATTCCCGCCAATGCCGCACAAGATCCGCACGCGAAGTCCCCTTAATAATTAGTTCCCACATTAAGTAAAATACCGAACCCAAAACTTTAGACCTTTCATCTTTGAGGGAGAAATTTAGTCTTAAATGTAGCGTTCCATCACCTTTAGGCAAAGCAGCTAAAGCACATCAGAGGGGCTGTGTTCACCGCAGGGGCATCTCACACCCTCTGTGATGGACACTAGGGCAGCTTCCTCTCCAGGGTTCCTGACTGCTCCTTTGCCTTGAGTTCTTCCAGTTTCTTCTCATAGCGAGTCATGAAGTAATCATCGGGTTCAATGCCTGCACTCTTCAAATTTTCCATGACCTTTTCCAGCCTGAGTACAGATCGTGCTCCTTCAATTTTTCTCGTGCTCAGGTACAGAGTGAACTCCCGGAAATCCAGAAGCTTACAGGTATCCACAGAGCAGATATTCCTGATCCCACTACTTCTATCCAAATTAGGAAAAAACACCAGTCCTGACAACTTCTCCAGGTCCTGAAGGCTCACTTGGAATTCACTTAACTGGGGTTGGAAGCCAATAGCTTCGTTGGGCACCACGAAAGCCCCTAGAGCCAGCGGTTCAGTAGACTCTGGGCTTCTGCGAGCCAAGATCACCTTATAGAGGTGTGAGGGGACCGCCACATTGTCCTCCCCGATCACCTAAAAACAAAGCAGCCATATTAGCGATGCTAATTTGTGCTAGCAGGGAAAAGACTTCAGATGCACTTCTGAAAACGCACTTATAAGCACCCCCCCACCCCATCCCAATGAATTTAAATTCAACTACCAACAATAATAATAAACCAAAACACACATTCACAGAAGGTCAGTATTTACAGGGTAGACTGATGACATTCTTTAAAATAATGCTACCCCCAAAGAGCAGGGGTTGCCTTCTTTGGCTTGCTCTACCCTGCTCTATTTTAGGATAGGAAAGCCATGAGTAAGTCCCAGGTTACAAGGCTGTCAGTTTCCCTTCATCTCATAATCAGAACTTCCAGTGCTCTGAACATTCAAAGGTCAAGACTGTCAGCCTGGGGATTCCCAGATCCAGAATTAAAAACATGGCCTCAGTTTATCAAATATACGTGGGAGTTAAACAAATAGCCTTAGAAGATAGCCAGGCACACATCGGTATTACTATGTCCAGTATCACTCAGACTGTGGCTCATTTTTTTAAATTAAATTAAGTAAATGTAAATACTGTTAGCTCAGAGTTTTGCTCACTCTTAGGACTGCTATTAAACACAGAACTTCTGAGTGTGTCATCAAATCAAACATTTTGGAAAGGTATCCGCACACTGAAGAAGCCAGAGCCAGGCTCAGGCCTGAAAACAATTTGGTGGACTGTGTACATTGGCTGTAATAATGAAATAACATTCATCTAAAATCTTTTCAAATTTCCTTTCAACTGGCTTAAAAGCCATATCTGCCTTCTAAAAAAGAAAAACTGAACATCCATTTCCTTAATGGTCTCCAACAAAATGACAAAACTCAATGCAATCTACTCCCAGTACCGCTGCTCCTCCAGGTCCGTGGGACGAGCAGACTCTCCTTCCTGATTGAACCTCCCTGCTCCAGGGGCCCGGTGGGAGCCTGCAGAAGGCAGAGGAGTGAGAGCTACAGAGAATTCTGCCTTCCCAAGACACCTACATGGCACACAGCCTAAGAACTCTCCACAGCCATCTGCTGTCTGGCGCACACAGGGCCCACCATCACGACCAACTGTGGGGCTGCAGGAAAGACCCAAACACGGGAAAGATTTCTGCAGCTGTCTCTCTTTGAAGTTAATGAAAGTGACAGATCACAGTGCGGTTTAAAGTTTATGAAACAACACAATCACAGACACAACATCCCCACACAACCCCTCCAACAAGTCACCTGTGTGACTGGGAAGATAAAACTCTCCAAAGCAAGAAATACGCTGAAGGTTATCTCTGTAGCGTCCACATGAGCCCACAGATCACTAACAGATGCTAATTCAACAATGCAACTCAGCCTGGCTCTGCTGGCAATACAGCTTGACATAAGTGCAATTGGTATCTCCTCTCTCTAAGTTTCCCATCTAGAGATGTCAACAACCACAGCTTCCACTGCAGGAAGGATGTGGTGAGACAGGAGCAAACACCACCGCTAAGGGAGAGGAGATGCAGGGCAAGCCGGGGACCACAACTGAGGTACAGCCACAGCTGAGCCACGCTGACTACGGAAGAAGCTTAAGAGAGCTTCCACAGGGCTGCAAGCCTAAGCTGGGCAGCCACAGTTCAGCAAATTGTTGGTGCCACCTGGTGGACATCCTCATCACAGCACACGGCTCTCAGACCCCACCAAGGGAGTCCCCAAGACCACCCTGAATTTCTCTCCTCCTGGAATCCTCCTCTACAAAACAGTTGGCAATTTTCAAGAGTGAGTAATTGGTCATACGCATTTGGTGCTAACCAGGACTTCTAATCAGGTGAATCAAATTCTAGCGAAAAGTAAAGAAGTTCAGCATTTTAAGATTCATGGCTTTACGTCACAGAAATGTACCATTTTATTAGGTTTCAAACTCCTCATGATAGCTAAAGACATCCATTACTACATTTGAGAAACAAGGATGGACACAAGGATTCCTGCTAAGAACCACAAGGTGGGACTCTCCTAACCTGACCTCCTCACGATATTTCAATAAAAGGGTAAACACTGACTTCAGAAACAGAAAAATGGGAACTTTATAGTCACTGTCTTCTCTGGTTCAGTTTGCTTTGTTCTCAAGCAGTAAACATCTTTAATCTGTCTACAATAGGAACCAATTCCATCTGGAAATTCAGCAAAAACCTTGTTTTTTTTTTCTTTAAAATGTTAAAGAACTTATTTTGGAGCTATCTTATTTGTAAACAGCTCACCTGACATAACCCCCCTCCCCGCCACCTGCCAGTTTTAGGAAAACTAGAAGGCTTTCAGACAGTTTCTAGAAACTAATAGGGTACTGAAGCAGTAGGGTTCGCTGGCTAGAACCCTAAAATCCTAGTCAAGTCCCAGCTTTGCAACTAAGCTGCAAGCCAGCTCCATGTCTTCATTCATAAACTCGGTAAAAGCAACCCCCACGCTGCTATCTCAGAACAGTCATGAAGTCAAAGGCATTCAGGTCTGAAGGCCTTAGAAACATTTTTTGTTGTAGAAGCATTCAAAAGATAAGAATGCAATGGCATCTGGTTAAAAAGAAAAAGGCACTGCAGGGGACATTGGGAAAACAAGGGATCAAGCAAAATCATAAAAGTTAAGGACAGACAATACAATGTTAGGAGAAAGCAAGCTGGAAATAAACGACACCTTGAACAAGTGAGACAAGTGGGGGCTTCACGTGAACCCCATCTTAAATATCAGTAAATCAGCAACAACCTTTTTCATTGCAATTCAGGTATAAAAATACAGAAGAAATCCTCCCTGCCGCTAAATTACCAAAAGCACTGAATTTTCATCAAGATTATATAACAAAACATGGCAGGTGCATGGGAATGACCAGGAAACACAGTATATATACCTGCCGGAAAGCTGGTCTCACGAGCAGCCTGCGCTGGCTTCTGCATGAGCCGGCTGAGCTTGTTTTCACCTACCCAAGAGGCAGCCGTGACAGTTGCCCCACCCGCCCTCAACACTACAGCTCTAGGCCTTCGCTGATTCAGTGTCAGAAGAGAATGGCAACACACATCAGCCAGGCTCAGCCATTTGTGACGCATAGACACATACGGCAGCTGTGCGTTAGGTGAAACCTTAAGCTGCTTCATGAGGGGAAAATGCAAACCTGTTAGAGCCAGAGGGGTATAAGATACTGGCTAGACTCCCCTGGTAAGACAAATTCTAAAACTGTAGCTGCTGGACACAGGAAGAGACAAGACCTTAGAAAGCATGCCAACCAAGTGAAAGAAAATATGGCCATGTGATAAACAGGGGACCCACACCTGAGAGGAGACAGGAACAAGCGAATCGGGGTGTGGAGAAGTCAGCAGCAATGCAGATAGCCCAGTGTGACTTATAAAGCTCCCTCGAGGGCTCTGCAGTGCCAACCCTAGAGACGGCGCCCTGCGGACCAGGCTCCCGCTCTGGGCAAAGGGTGGGAGCTCACCACATCCCTGGAAAACAAGCACCATCCCCCCAGACTGCCACTTCTACTTGGAGATTTAGGGTGTGCTTAAGTAGAACTTAGCCAGTAGTTATCTTTAAATTATTTTTTTAAATAGTAACTAATTTGTAAATTAAAACAGATATGGAAATGAAAAATAAAGATCCACCCAAGATAAAACAGATTTCAAAAAAAAAATTACTCCCTGATCAGGTCAGGAGATGCCTTCAGACCCCTGGAGTTATGTTTTACCTTCTCTCCCTGTCTAGGAGTTGGGGGAAAGTTTGGAAAGCAATGCTGTACAAGGAAAACACAAACTGTTAAGTGCTTCTAATATTACCACCACCATCAAGTTGTAAAATCTGAAGCTCACTTTCTTGCCAGGTCAATTATAATGGTCAGGTCAGAATCTTCAGGTATTTTTCACTTGTCTGGAATCAATCTCTTCTTGAAACAGGCACATCAGAGAAAGCACATGGATGACCTCAGCTATAATAAAGGGGTGATTCTGATTAGAGCTGTCAGATGACTCACTTGTGATCATATCACTGCTACTAAGCTTCCCTTGGGCTCACACTGGCTCAAGTCCTGTGATGCTGCTGATCCTTTCCCACAGATCCTAATAGACATTTCTGCCTGACTATAAGGAATCCTCTTCTTGGCCCATTTTCTGTTCTTATTTTTGCATGTTAGCAAAACACTATTTCTCACTGCTCTCCATCCACCCCCCTCTTTCATCTTGGGGCCTTAAAAGCTTCCGAACATGAAGCACACAGCAATTCTTTCCTGAAGACTTTGAGAGCATCACAGAATGATGCTGTGAATGACTGGCAACTCTCATACAAGTCAGAGACCAAGTGGACCTCCCCTTTGACAATTATGTGACTTTGATTTGAACCCTCAAAACCCCATTTTCAAAGCCTAGAAAAGGAGATAAGCATTGCTATCCTGTAATCTGTTTGTAAGGAGAGAATGAGATAGAGCTACAGTTACTTTTACTCTGTGATATAGATGGTCCTCAACCAATACCATTTCATTTGTTTCACGTCCTCCAAACTATACATATACATGCTCCAGTGCCTAGCTAGAGAATTAAATCAATACCCTTATTTTTATTAGCTATATTCTTCCCAAATACGGTTCAGAGTATTACTGTAAACAAGCAGTAAATATGAAATGGTTGGAGCTGAAAAAAATAAAAGAAAAACCTTTTCCCAGGCATTCGGAATTGCACATAATTGCAAGACAATCCCTTAGAGGCAGGTAATCACAATTCAAATATTTATTCTGGGGCAATGCAGTACCCTTTTTTTCTCAGCATCACTAAAGATCATGTTGTTAGCCACAATTATTTTCTTATGAATTGCTAGAAAATTGCCCGAAATTTTTAGCAGGGCATTCAAGGTTTCTGTTTTCTGGCCCCAATCTTTATCTGAATGCTCTTACTGTTCCTTAGCACATATCCTATCTACCTTTTCCTATCTCTTCCCCTTTACCTCCCATGTCTGTTTTATTTAACTGAATTCTCCCAACTTTATATGCACATACATGTGTGTGC